TTTTTTTTTTTTTTTTTTTTTTGAGACGGAGTCTCACTCTGTCATCAGGCTGGAGTGCAGTGGCACAATCTTGGCTCACTACAACCTCTGCCTCCCAGGTTCAAGCCATTCTCTTGCCTCAGCCTCCCAAGTAGCTAGGACTACAGGCGTGCACCACCACGCCCAGCTAATTTTTGCATATTTAGTAGAGATGGGGTTTCACCATGTTGGCCAGCATGGTCTCGATCTCTTGACCTCATGATCTGCCTGCCACGGACTCCCAAAGTGCTGGGATTACAGGCGTGAGTCACCGTGTCCGGCCCCAAATTTTTTTTAAAATCAAAATTATGGACAGGCCAGGTGTGGTGGCGCACACCTGTAATCCCAGCACTTTGGGAGGCGGAGGTAGGTGGATCACCTGAGGTCAAGAGTTCGAGACCAGCCTGGCCAAGATGGTGAAACCCCCATCTCCACTAAGAGTACAAAAAAAATTTAGCTGGGCGTGATGGCAGGTGCCTGTAATCCCAGCTACTTGGGAGTCTGAGGCAGGAGAATCACTTGAACCTGGGAGGCAAAGGTTGCAGTGAGCCAAGATGGTGCCAATGTACTCCAGCCTGGGCGACAAGAAACTCCATCTTTTGAAACTCTTTTGAAATTCTGTCTCAGGAAAAAAAAAAAGTTATGGACAAACAGCAAGTTAAATAGACTTGAAGCATATCTTTAATTTATTGAGTGCCTGCTGTATATTTAGCACTAAGGGAGGATGGGCACGTCTGAGCCATCTTTGTCATCTAGAGACTTTAAACCAATCTGGCAACACGACAACTAGTGTGGGATAAAAATTGGACAGTGATGTTCTATGCCAAAATGCGTGCTGCATGTAACGCCCCCAAACGATAACACGGCTTTATAACAAGCATAACCTAGCTGCCAAAGGATGGGTGGTGATGAGGTAAAAAGGATGGGGAACAGTGCAAGCTAAGTGACTAGAATATGCAGGTTTGAGGGCTGTGAAGAAACCAGCTTGACTACAAGGGGAAGTGAGATGAGAGAAGTGGAAAAAATAAAGTCATATATATAATGCAGAGCTGAAGCTCAAGGAGTGCTAGATATAAATAGCCTAAGTTTTGTAAGAAAAACATATATAGTTAATAGTCAGTTTGATTTATCTGACCCCTAACTTGTGGGTTTCTTCTCCTGTAGGCTTCTGGATCAGCTTATCAACAGTGAGAGTTGAGGATAAAAGAGGTGACTTTCACTAGGCATGGTGACTCAAACCTGTAATCCCAGCACTTTGGGAGGCCAAGACAGGAGGATTGCTTGAGCCCAGGAGTTCAAGACCAGGCTAAGCAACACGGTGAAACCCTGTCTCTACAAAAACTTAGCTGGGTATGGTGGCATGCTCCTGTGTACTACCTGGGAGGCTGAGGTAGAAGCATTACCTGAGCCTGGTGAGGTCGAGGCTGCAGTGAGCCATAATCACACCACTGCACTCCAGCCTCGGCAACAGAGTGAGGCCATCTCAAAAAAAAAAAAAAAAAAAAAAAAGAGTTGACTTTCTAGGTTGATGGGAGTTTAAATGACAGTGAAGAAGCAGCTATAATCCAGGACAAGGGAGAGGGGAAAGGCCCATGGGAAGTATCCAAACAACTACCAGCTTAATTAAGCTGGAAACTGAGTCTAAGTCCTTAGCAGTCATAGCTAGCTACACAGCCACACTCATTCATTAATAATCACGTTCTCAAGGAAAACAGAAAAATTCTCAGGAACATTAAATGACCACAGGCAATTAAACTGCATGTATAATAATACTTTTGGGCCAGGCACAGTGGCTCATGCCTATAATCTCAGTTGGGAGGGCAGGATGGGAGGATCACTTGAGCCCAGGAGTTCAAGACCAACCCTGTCAATATAATGAGCCCATCTCTACAAAAAAAAAATGAAAAAATTAGCTGGGCATAGTGGTGGGCGTCTGTAGTCCCAGCTACTCAGGATGCTGAGATAGGAAGGTAACTTGAGCCCAGGAGGTCGAGGTGGCAGTGATCTATGATTGTAACTTTTTATAAGCAAACAACCAAAAAAAGCAACATGCCCACAAAATACTTATATACAAACACATATTAGAAAATACCAAAATATTAATGGTAGCTATTTCTGGGTATCAGGATTGCATACGACTTTAACTTTCTTCGTGTTCTGCTAACAAACTAAGGATGATGAAACTTCTCTGGCCCCAAATAAGGAATCAAAAACCCAGTGAGAAAAGAGTAGGTGTGAAGAACATTGCATATCTCATCGAGAGTCTTCTTCGCCAGCTATCTCCTCCTACTTGAAACTGCAAACATATGAGTGAGTGGATCTGTAGGGTAGGAAGAACATGAGGGAACCCCCAACATGGAGGCTTAAAAGGAAAAAAGTTACATCTCAGACATGACAAGTCTCCCCATGGCCAATTACCAGATTCCCACCTGACTGAGGCTGGAAAGCATGCAGGTGCTTGAAGCTTCCTCCCGACAGCTGAACAATATGCAGAGCTCCTTGATTTGATGCCACAAAGAGCTTTGTTGAATCTTCAGAAAACAAAATCTGAAGGGCACAGCGAAGGAATGGTGGCATTTTGGAAACCTTTGGGTGAACCAATAATAAAAGTGAGAGAAGGGAGACCTACAGCCCATCAGAAACAATCACAGCTAGGCTTAAGTTACATTAATGCTCCCTGTCTCTAAGTAAGCCAACTGACTCAGGGCACAGAACACTGGTTTCTCTCCAGAAACCTATACATCCCCCTTTCATCTCTTTAGTACATATTCACTTCCCTATCAAGGAAATAACTAAGTCACACATGAAACCACTAAACAGAAAAGCCTTAACTTTACTGCCTGTAGGGCATTACCCTATCCCTCTAAGAACATATTTCAAAACTTCAAAATGGAAATAAAGGCTGGGTGTGGGCCAGGTGCAGTGTCACAGCACTTTGGGAGGCCGAGGGGACGGATCACCTGAGGTCAGGAGTTCAGGACAGCCTGGCCAACGTGGTCAAACCCCATCTCTACTAAAAACACAAAAATTAGCTGGGCCTGGTGGTGGGCACCCGTAATCCCAGCTACTCGGGAGGCTGAGGCAGGAGCACTCCGGCCTGCGTGACAAGAGTGAAACTTGGTCAAAAAAAAAAAAAAAAAAGCCAGGCGCAGTGGCTCACGCCTGTAATCCCAGCACCCAGCACTTTGGGAGACCGAGGCAGGTGAGTCACCCAAGGTCAGGAGTTCGGGACCAGTATGGCCAATGAGTGGTGAAACCCATCTCTACTAAAAATAGGAAAATCAGCCAGGTGTGGTGGTGGGCGCTTGTAATCCCAGCTACTCAGGAGACGGAAGCAGAAGAATCTCTTGAACCCAGGAGGCAGAGGTTGTAGTGAGCCAAGACCGCACTGGGCGACAAGAGCAGAACTCCGTCTCAAATAAATAAAGAAATAAATAAATAAATAAATAAATAAAACAGCTTTGTAACAGCCCTCTCCAAATCTCCAAATAGTTTTTAACTGAGCAAGGATTCACATCCAGTTGATTTCCACTTCACACAAAAATGACATATTTAGGAAGTTTCCTCTTATGTGACCAGACATTGGGCTATCACTTACCCTTTTGAGGCTTATGTTGTCATGTTCATAATTCAGCCGATAGAGAAAAAACCGAGAAACTGTAGAATAGGCTATCCAACTTCCACACGGGGAGATACAGCTGCAGATAATGTTCTCAGGACCCTGGCAATATCAAGAATCAAGATGAACGTACAATTAAACTTCACATAACGAGGTGCACTGGGACATGACGCCTCAAGCTCTTGCCACTCTGGACATATCCACAGATATCTATACATAATCTCAATCCTCGTGTGGTCTGCGTTACTATGATGATCTCAGAGGCAGAGTACCTAAAAGGCGTGGCTTTGATTTCCAAATCCAAGAATGGAGGTCTATTCTTATTTTGGCCTTTTGAATACTTCATAGATAGCCTCATACTATACCCCAAATTCAGAAACCTGAGCAGGGAGGCATTTACTGAAGGAAAGCTCAGGAGGATAGGTGGTTTGGAGTACTTATTTTCTGTTTTGTCTACAACGTTCTGCTTTAAAGACTTCTAAGAAATAGCAAATGAAAAACATTTGGAAGCCAGGTCCGGTGAGTCGTGCCTGTAATCCCAGCACTTTGGGAGGCAGAGGTGGAGGACTGCTTGAGCCCAGGAGTTCAAGATCTGTCTGGACAACATGGTAAAACCCTGGATCTACAAAAAATTAGCCGGGCATGGTGGTGCAGACCTGTAGTCCCAGCTACCCGGGAGGGTGAAGTGGGAGGATCACCTGAGCCTGGGAGGTTGAGGCTGCAGTGAGTCGTGATGGTGCCACTGCTCTCCAGCCTGGAAAACACACTGAGACCCTGCCTCAAAAAGTAAGCAAACAAACAAAAAACCAACCAACCAAACAAACAAAAAAGAATCTGGAGAATAAAGAAAAGTTGAAAGTAACATTTATGTAATTTTTAAAAACTCACAAAATGATTTTTTTTTCATTGTATACGCTTTTGTACTATTTGAGTTTTTAAAAATATGCACATGGCCAGGCGTCGTGGCTCATGCCTGTAATCCCAGCACTTTGGGAGGCAAAGGCGAGCGCATCACCTGCGATCGGGAGTTCAAGACCAGCCTGACCAACCCCGTCTTTACTAAAAATACAAAAAATTAGCTGGGCGTGGTGGCGCATGCCTGTAATCCCAGCTACTCAGGAGGCTGAACCAGGAGAATTGCTTGAACTCAGGAGGTGGAGGTTTCGGTGAGCCGAGATGGCGCCATTGCACTCCAGCCTCGGCAACAAGAGCAAAACTCTGTCTCAAAAACAAATGAATAAATAAATAAATGCACATTTTTTTCATAATAATATCAAAAGAAGAGAAACCTATTTCCTGTATACATCCATCTAATAAATCCTCAATGTCCTACTTATAATCACAGGAAACTCAGTCCTGGTGACACAGTCCTTCATTCAAATAGTTTTAGAATTTATACAATTTGTGGTGTAAACTAACCTCAAAATTCAGAATGGGAAAAACGTTCTAGATTTCAGAGCCTAAACAAACTTCCTTACCTTTGTCTTCAGGTGCAGTAAATGATCTGCATTTTTAGAGAGTGGAAGAGTATCCCCATTCTTGCCTGAAACAAGAAACTTCCCTGAGATTTCTCTTATGAAAGAAAATTTGTACATTTTTTTCTTCTAAAAAGTCACTCCCTGGAAGAATGGAATCTCTATCCGGGAGAAATCAGAAAAATGTAAGCTCACAACTTTTGAGGTGTATATGAAGAGGAAAACAGTGAGTACTTCCTTTGCTTCTACCTCTGATACATCACTAATTCCCTGAAGCTCTATTCCATAGCCAGGCACGCAGGTGGAGTCTGTGTGGCCTCAATTTTAATCCACTGCAAAAGAGAGGACTCACACATTTCCTTAATAGGTCACACAAAAAGGCCACTAGGCTGTCACTCCAATAAGATCCATGTGATCTTCTTTTTCGTACAGGATCATCATTACCCATCATTAAATCTTGTTATTTTCCAACAGCCTGTTTTCTTCTCAGTTACTACACCCTGCAGCGCACTACCTAGAGCCATAAACCTTTAAGAGATGATTCAATATCCTACTAAAGATTCTAATACTCTAAATAACTTATTTGCTTTATCTAATGGGTGGGTAAACCATTAGTTAAAATGGACATAAAAGTCTACTTCAGTTTTTCTATAAGCAGAATTCCAACCGCAATTCTGATTTCTGGCTTCTCTCTCCAGTTTTCTTATTGAAAAAAAGGTGCTCTCATTTTACCTGTTGCAACTGTGGATCCCAGTCGCCAAAGTTCCAAGTGATGAGCAAACTGGAAGAGGAGAAGCTGCCTCTTTTTAGAACAGGAAATGAGACGTCGCTATATCCAAGAATCAAAAAGTTAAAAAATAAGTCAGGGTCATCTACTGCCTCAGTACCAGATACAGCAGCACCATCTTAGCACATTTTTTACTGCTGAAATCCATTTCCTTGACAAATATTTCCTAAGTACTCCCATATACCAGGCACTGCCCTGGGATCTATGAACACATTGATGAGTTAAAACATAGCTACTGCTCTCGAGATGCTTCTAAAGGGGTGACACAGAACTAAATCAGCAATAAGACTTTAGTGTGACAAGAATTTTAACACGGCTAAACACAGTATGTACTGAAAACTAAGGAAAGAGGACTTCTAACCTAGACGTGTGGTGGTAAACACAGAAGTCCAGATGAGGTTCACTGGGAAAGACCAGTCAGGCGAAGGAGGCAGGGCAGAATGTTCTGAGGAGGGCGATGGCATGTGACATGGCTCAAAGGTAAGAGTATTTGCGGGAACAAAAAGACTTTGAGAGTGGCTAGCCTGGGTGGGGGTGCTACAAGCATGAGAGGTGCTACAGGAAGCTGAAGGGCCAGGCCTGGATGGAGACAGGTTCTATAAGACACACTAAGGAAACTGTCTTTATGCTGAAGCCAACAGGGATAATCAAAGGCTTTGAAGCATGCAGCAATGAACAAAGTTGCTTTAAAACAGATCAATGGGCCTGGAGCAGTGGCTCATGCCTGTAATCCCAGCACTTGGGAGGCTGAGGTGGGAGGACTGCTTGAGACCAGGAGTTTGAGATCGGCCTGGGCAAGATAGTGAGATCTTGTCTCTATTAAAAATAAATAAAAAATAAAAAAATTAGCCGAGGCTGGGCGCAGTAGCTCACGTCTCTAATCCCAGCACTTTGGGAGGCCGAGGCTGGTGGATCACCTGAGGTCAGGAGTTCGAAACCAGCGGGGCCAACATGGTGAAACGCCGTCTCCACTAAAAATACAACAATTAGCCGGGCGTGGTGGCAGATGCCTGTAATCCCAGCTACTAGGGAGGCTGAAGCAGGAGAATCGCTTGAACCCAGGAGACCGAGGTTGCAGAGAGCCGAGATCACACCACTACACTCCAGCCTGGGCAACAAGGGCAAAGCTCCGTCTCAAAAAAAAAAAAAGAAAAAGAAAAAAAGAAATTAGCTGAGTGTGGTGGTGGATGCCTGTGGTTCCAGCGACTCAGGAGGCTGAGGTGGGAAGACTGCTTGAGCTCAGGAAGCAGAGGTTACAGTGAGCCAAGATCACACCACTGCAATCCAGCCTGGGTGACGGAGCAAGACCTTGTCTCAAAAAAACAAAGACAAATAAAATAAAATAAAATAAAATAAGATCAATGAAGAATAGGCTAGAATGACACAAATGGAAATAAAAGGACATGATTAAGAAGCTACTGTAAAGGAACCCAGATGAGAAAAGACATTGATCCAAACTAGGATGATGCCAGCGTAGACAAAGAGAAATGAATGACTCGATTCAAGAGATTATGAGGACTATGTTCAACTTTATCAAACTATATGCATTAAATATGTACAGTTTTTAATATATCAAATATGCCTCAATAGAGCTGTTGATCGACCGATCGATCGATCGATCTATCTCTACAACATACGTATAAAGATACTGATGAGTAGACTCAATGAGGTTTACTGGTTGAATGAATGGGGCAGCAGGTGTGGGGAGCAAGTTCTCTAGCTTGGGAAGATGGTACCATTTACCCAGAACACTGGAAGCCTGGGTTTCCCTGCTCCCACCCAGAATAGAGCCTACTCTGAAAGACAAACTAACAAAATTCCCATAACCCACAACTAATTGGAAAAGGGAAAAATTCCCCCAGAAACTGAACTAGGTGTGCTGCTGCATATCTCCTACCCCCCATAAATGTCTTTGCAGTGGCTTGCCTCAAAAACAGAAGGAATGAAGAAGGAGCTACAGAAAGTCCTACAATATCTCCATGTCCCAGATGGTTTAAAAAAAAAGGGGGGCTGGGTATGGTGGCTCATGCCTGTAATCCCAGCACTTTGGGAGGCCAAGGTGGCAGTATCACAAGGTCGGGAGATCAAGACCATCATCCTAGCTAACACAGTGAAACCCTGTCTCTACTAAGAATACAAAAAATTAGCCGGGTGTGGTGGTGGCGGGCACCTGTAGTCTCAGCTACTTGGAAGGCCGAGGCAGGAGAATGGCGTGAACCTGGGAGGCGGAGCTTGGAGTGGAGTTGCACCACTGCACTCCAGCCTGGGTGACAGAGTGAGCCTCCGTCTCAAAAAAAAAAAAAAAGGCCTACAAGACTGAGCGTGATGGCTCATGCCTATAATCCCAGCACTTTGGGAGGCCGAGGCAAGCAGATTACCCGAGGTTGGGAGTTCCGAGACCAGCCTGACCAACATGGAGAAACCCAGTCTCTACTAAAGATACAAAATTAGCCAAGCGTGGTGGCACATGCCTGTAATCCCAGCTACTCGGGAGACTGAGGCAGGAGAATCGCTTGAACCCGGGAGGTGGAGGTTGCGGTGAGCCAAGATCACGCCACTGCACTCCAGTCTGGGCAACAAGAACAAAATTCTGTCTCAAAAAAAAAAAAAAAAGTCCTACAAATTTGCCAAGCGTGAGCTGTGTTCAGAGCCTTGTGGGACAGGGGGACACAGGGATGGGGAGATGAGGGGTTGGCAGGGGCTTGGAATGGACACTTACGTGGGGAAAGGTGATTTTTCGGAGAGCGGCATCGTAATTCTTTACCTCCACCTTCTCCATGAGAGGACGAATGACTAAGTGGGTGTCAGTGCCTGGTAAAGCAGGGGAGAAGGTGTACAGAATTAGAAGTCGTCCTGCACGAGAACAGCCAGAGCTGGGCAGGGTAAAGCAGCAGCCTCGCCAGGAGGGGAACCCACCTCCAGATATCAGCGCTGTTGGGCTGTGGGCCACAGTGCGCACGTCGTGAGTGTGATGCTGGAACGGTTTTGTCCGCACCCACTGCTTCTCACTGCTGTTAGATGTCACAGGGACCAGCTGAAAATGGAAGACTGTTCCCTCGGCTGTGCCCACCACAAAACTGTCTTCTTGCTGAGGAATTAAATCATGAAGGAGGTACATGTAAGCAAAACAAGGTCTGGTTGGAAAAATATTCCCTGAGGTTTTCTGTCTCAGCAGCTTAGGCGTAAACCTATGCCCAGAATCAGTAGGAAAGTTACAAGGGTCTTTTCCCTCCAGAAGCTAAGGATTCCATCAGAGGAGCAAGCTCAGACACTGGTAACAATGCGCCCCCTACTGACAAAATTAACAACGTCTAGAGTAGGAACAACACAGCAATGCTTCATATATATAACATAGATCTCCTTAGAATAGCATTGAGAGATAAAATACCTAGAACCTATTTGAGAAATTTAAATCCTTCGAAAGATCATAAGAGAAAACCTAAACAAAGAAATCCATAGCATGTTATTTAGTAGGAATATTTAACATGATCAAGTTGTTATCACTAAAGAAACGTATTAAACCAATAAAAATACTGACAATCCTTTATTTAGAACTAGAACAGGTGTTTCTTAATAACGTTTATTTCATTAAAAATATCCAAGAAACATCAGTCAGACGTGGTGGCTCACTCTTGTAATCCCAGCACTTTGGGAACCTGAGTTGGGTGGATCACTTGAGGCCACGAGTTTGCAACCAGCCTGGCCAACACAGTGAACCCTGTCGCTACTAAAAATACAAAAATTAGCTGGGAGTGGTGGCGCATGCTTGTAATCCCAACTACTTGGACGGCTGAGGCACAAGAATCACTTGAACCTGGGAGGCAGAGGTTGCAGTATGCCAAGATCGCACCACAGCACTCCAGATTGGGCGACAGAGCAAGACTCTGGCTCAAAAAAAAAAAAACAAAAACCAAACAAACAAAAAAATACAAGAAACACCAATAAGAAAGTTTCTTAAATAAACAAGGTGGGCAGAGCAGCACAAACCTATAGTCCCAGCTACTCAGGAGACTGGGCAGGAGGATCACTTGAGCCCAGAAGTTGGAGACCAGTCTGCACAACACAGTGAGATCTCATCTTTATTTTTTATTTTTATTTCTTGAGACAGAGTCTCCCTCTGTCACCCAGGCTGGAATGCACTGGCATGATCCCGGCTCACTGCAACCTCTGCCTTCCCAGGTTCAAGAGATTCTCCCACCTCGGCTTCCTAAGTAGCTGGGATTACAGGCACACACAATCACATCTGGTTAATTTTTGTTTTTGTTTTTTTTGAGACGGAGTTTCACTCTTGTCGCCCAGGCTGGAGTGCAATGGCACAATCTCAGCTCACTGCAACCCCTGCCTCCTTGGTTCAAGCCATTCTCCTGCCTCAGCCTTCCAAGTAGCTGGGATTATAGGCATGTGCCACCATGCCTGGTTAATTTTTGTATTAGTAGAGACGAAGCTTCACCATATTATCCAGGCTGGTCTCAAATTCCTGACCTCAGGTGATCCACCCTCCTTGGCCTCCCAAAGTGCTGGGATTACAGGTGTGAGTCGCTGCTCACGGGCTTGCATTTTTTTTTTTCCAGTAGAGACTGGGTTTCGCCATGTTGGCCAGGCTGGTCTCAAACTCCTGACCTCAGGTGATTCGCCCACCTCAGCCTCCCAAAGTCTCATTTTTAAAAAGAATGAAAGAAATAAACAAGAAAAAAAACAAAACAAAACAAAAAAACATAACTCACAACACAAACAAAAAACCCAAACAAGAGTAGTAATGTGGCTGGACATGATGGCTCACATCTATAATCCCGCACTTTCGAAGGCAGGAGAATCACTTCAGCCCAGGAATTTGAGACCAATCTGGGCAACACAGTGAGACTGCATCTCTACAAAAAACGTTAAAAACTTAGCCTGGTGGTGCATGCCTGTAGTCCCAGCCACTTGGGAGGCCGAGGTAGGAGGATTGCTTGAGCCTGGGAGGCAGAGGCTGCAGTGAGCTAGGATTATACCACTGCACTCCACCTAGGTGACAGAGCAAGACCTTGCCTCAAAAAAAAAAAAAAAAAGTAACGAAGATACACATCCAAAAGAACTGAAGGCAGGAACTCAAACAGCTTTGCAAATACAGACTGAAGATTCCTAATCCAGGGCCGGGCATGGTGGCTCACGCACCTTGGGAGGCTGAGAAGGTGGATCACTTGAGGTCAGGGGTTAGAGACCAGCCTGGCCAACATGAAGAAACACCGTCTCTACTAAAAATACAAAAATTAGGCCGGGCACGGTGGCTCATGCCTGTAATCCCAGCACTTTGGAAGGCCGAGGCGGGCAGATCACGAGGTCAGGAGATCAGGACCATCCTGATTAACATGGTGAAACACCGTCTCTACTGAAAAAAAAATACAAATAATTAGCCGGGCGCGGTGGCGGGCGCCTGTAGTCCCAGCTACTCGGGAGGCTGAGGCAGGAGAATGGTGTGAACCCGGGAGGCAGAGCTTGCAGAGAGCGGAGATTGCGCCACTGCATTCCAGCCTGGGCAATAGAGCAAGACTTTGTCTCAAAAAAAACAAAAAAACAAAAAAACAAAAATTAGACAGGCGTGGTGGCATGAGCCTGTAGTCCCAGCTAAAAAAAAAAAAAAAAAAAAAGGATTCCTAATCCAAAATCCTTTTTGAGTGCTAACATGACACCACAAGTAGAAAACTTCACTTCTTACCTCATCTGCTGGCTCACAGTCAAAACTTTGTTTCACTCATAAAATGAATAAAATATTGTACAAAATTACCATCAGGCTACGTGTATCAGGTACATATGAAACATAAATGAATTTCTTGTATAGGCTGAGGTCCCACTCCCAAGATATCTCATTATGTATATGCAAATATTCCAAAATCCAAAAAAAATCCAAAATCTGAAACACTTCTGCTTCTAAGCAGAACCAGATCAGAGACACTCAACCTGTACTTGTACCTCAATGTTCAGAGCAGCATTATTATTTTGTTTGCTTGTTTGGAGATGGAGTCTTGCTCTGTCGCCCAGGCTGGAGTGCAGTGGAGCGATCTCAGATCACTGCAACCTCTGCCTCCCAGGTTCAAGCGATTCTCCTGCCTCAGCCTCCCGAGTAGCTGGGCCTACACGTGCACACTGCCACACTCAGCTAATGTTTTTGTATTTTAGTAGTGACAGAGTTTCACCATGTTGCCCAGGCTGGTCTGGAACTCCTGAGCCAATCCACCCGCCTCGGCCTCCCAAAGTGGTAGGTTTACAGGCATAAGTCACCACACATGGCCTATTATTATTTTGAGCTGGAGTTGCACTCTGTTGACCAGGCTGGAGTGCAAAGGCACGATCTCAGCTCACTGCAACCACTATCTCCCGAGTTCAAGCAATTCTCCCGCCTCAGCCTTCCAAGTAGCTGGGATTACAGGCGCGTACCACCATGCCGGCTAATTTTCGTATTTTTAGTAGAGATGGGATTTCATCATACTGACCAAGCTGGTCTTGAACTCCTGACCTCAACTGATCCACCCGCCTTGGTCTCCCAAACTGCTGGGATTACAGGTGTGAGCCACTGCGCCTGTCCTAGAGCAGCATTATTTACAATAGCCAAAAGATGGAAACAACCCAAATGTCCACTAATAGATGGATGGATAAACAAAACACACACTTAAATATTATGCAATCTTAACAAGAAATGAAATACTGATAAAGCTACAACATGGATGGACCTTGAGAACAATATGCTAAGTAAAATAAGCCAGATACAAAATGACAAATGTTATATGCAAATTCATAGGGACAGAAAGTAGAATAGAGGTGACCAGAGGCTGAGAGAAGGGAGGAATGAGGAGGTAGTATTAAATGAGTACAGGTTTCTGTTTGTGGTGATGAAAAAGTTCTGAAAATGGGCCGGGCGCAGTGGCTCAAGCCTGTAATCCCAGCACTTTGGGAGGCCGAGATGGGCGGATCACGAGGTCAGGAGATCGAGACCATCCTGGCTAACACGGTGAAACCCTGTCTCTACTAAAAAATACAAAAAACTAGCCGGGAGAGGTGGCGGGCGCCTGTAGTCCCAGCTACTCAGGAGGCTGAGGCAGGAGAATGGCGTAAACCCAGGAGGCGGAGCTTGCAGTGAGGTGAGATCCGGTCACTGCACTCCAGTCTGGGCAACAGAGCGAGACTCCGTCTCAAAAAAAAAAATTCTGAAAATGGATAGTGGTGATAAATGCTGTTCAACAATGTGAATGAATTTTCCACTGAAATGTACACTTTTAAAATAGTTTAAAAGTAAATAAAGTATTGGGGAGAATTACAAAACTAATGGTAAAAAGACTGAAGTTTGGAAAATCTTTTTTTTTTTTGAGACAGAGTCTCTGTCACCCAGGCTGGAGTGCAGCGGCACAATCTCGGCTCACTGCAACCTCTGCCTCCCGGGATGAACTCCCTGAAATATCTTACTGGTTCCCTCAACAATGAATTACAGAAAATCTGACTTATTTCCATTTCATACTTGTATAAATCATGATTATAACTTCTTTCTGTCTAGTCATCATTTAGTAACTTTTTTCACAGATAAGAAAACCAGAGTTCCAAAGGGCTTAAAGACATGACAAACATGGCCATCTGGCCCCAAAGACTGTGCTCTGGGCACACCACACTGCCTTAACCTCATGCCAACTCCTTTGTGGGGTCATGACTGTGTAGCAGAAAGGAAAGCATTTTCCAAGGACAGCACATAAGGTGGCTCTGAGGAGCCGCTCCCTCATCTCTAAAGACACTACTCGAAAACCATTAGCCTAAGACAAAAGTGGACATACCTAGCAGCTTAGGAACTCAAACACTCCCCAACCTGCAACTACACAGTTTACTTCATTTCCAAAAAAAAAAAAAAAAACCCAACAACAACAACAAAAAGAAAAAGCCAGAGGTGGTGGCTCATGCCTGTATTTTCAGCACTTCGGGAGGCTGAGGCAGGCGGATCACCTGAGGTGAGGAGTTCAAACCAGCCATGGTAAAATCCAGTCTCTACTAAAAATACAAAAATTAGCCTGGCGTGGTAGCATGCGCCTGTAATCCCAGCTACTTGGGAGGCTGAGTCAGGAGAATTGTTTGAATCCAGGAGACGGAGGTTGTAGTGAGTCGAGATTGCATCACTGCACTCCAGCCTGGGCGACAGACCGAGACTGTCTCAAAAAAAATTTTTTTAAAGGGTAGTCTTCTTAAAGTCCCATCCAGAAAGAGATTTGGAAGGCAAGGACTTCTCCTTTACTCTGTATTCTATTTCTCTTAGGTGAAATCATTATTATTATTATTATTATTATTAATATTATTGAGATGGAGTCTCGCTTTTGTCGCCCAGGCTGGAGGGCAATGGCGTGATCTTGGCTCACTGCAACCTCTGACTCCCGGGTTCAAGCGATTCTCCTGCCTCAGTCTCCTAAGTGGCTAGTATTATAGGTGCCCACCACCACACCTGGCTAATTTTTCCATTTTTAGTAGAGACGGGGTTTCACCATGTTGGCCAGGCTGGTCTCAAACTCCTGACCTCAAGTGATCCGCACGCCTTGGCCTGCCAAAGTGCTGGGACTATAGGCGTTGAGTCACCACGCCTGGCCAATAATTAACTCTTAAGTATAATTATTACAACTGCTGTAGATTAAAACTCTATTTTCAAAGGGGAATTTATCCCACATCATTTCAACTTATATCACTATTATCACTTACATGTGACATATGTTTTTCAGGGCTTCAGCATACATCAAACTGTTCTCAAAAAACCTGTGATATGGAATAGGAACACTACACTAGAATATGGATGTCAGCACGTAGGATAGCACATCATTCTCAAACTAAGGAGATAAAGAAGGAGGTATTCAACAAATAAAGTCACTTTCCATGTCTCACCGCTAAAATACTCAAAGGTTTCTGAATGAGAATTCATGTTACCATTCTTCTACAATATTATGTCATAGAAAATAATAGGCGGGGTGTGGTGGCTCACACCCGTAATCTCAGCACTTTGGGAGGCCAAGGCAGGCAGATCACTTGAGGTCAGGAGTCTGAGACCAGCTTGGCCATCATGGTGAAACCATAAACATATAAAAATTTAGCTGGGCACAGTGGTGGGCACCTGTAATCCCCCCTACTCTGGAGGCTGAGGCAGGAGAAGCGCTTGAACCCAGGAGGCAGAGGTTGCGGTGAACCGAGATTGTGCTACTGCACTCCAGCCTGGGCGACAGAGCTAGACTCTGTCTAAAAAAAAAAGAGAGAGAAAATAGGCTGGGCACAGTGGCTCATGCCTGTAATCCCAACACTTTGGGAGGCCAAGGTGGGTCGATCACCTGAGGTCAGGAGTTTGAGACTAGCCTGGCCAACATGGTAAAACCCCGTCTCTACTAAAAATACAAAAATTAGCTGGGTGTGGTGGCGGGGGCCTGTAATCCCAGCTACTGGGGAGGCTGAGGCAGGAAAATAGCTTGAACCTGGGAGGCAGAGGTTGCAATGAGCCTAGATCACACCATTGCACTCCAGCCTGGGCGACAAGAGGGAAACTCCATCTCAAAAAAAAAAAAAAGAAAATACTACTACTACTAAATAAGACATTTTGGCCAGGTGCCGTGGTTCCTGCCTATAACCCTAGCACTTTGGGAGGCTGAGATGGGAGGATCTTCCAGCCCAGGAATTTAAGACCACCTTGGGCAACACAGGGAGACCCCATCTCTATTTTTTAAATTAAATTAAAAATAAATAAATAAATACAAAGGTTTTAAAAGAGAAGCATTCATGTTACCAAAGGAAAAGAGGCCTATCTGTTCAACACAAATCTACTTGAGGATTATTCAAATAGAAGAAAATGAACATTTTTAAAATCACTAAAAAGTTATCTTCCAATGTTCCAAACAGATAGGAAGCAGCAGAGCACCTGGACAGAGAGAGAAATAGTGCCTCTCGAGATTCTTCTAGGCTGCTGCGCCCTATCTACAATCAGACAAGATGAACTGGAGGTGAGCAGTGTCTGAAGAAAATCTCAATGCTAACTAATCTCTTGAAGAATCCTGCATTCTCTAACCAATTGTTAGATACTATGGAAACAATGTGGGTTTTCAGATGCATTTTCCTAAACTCATCTTCCTCCAGTACAACATCGGGATCAGGAACCAGTGTTCGTGGCACATCACTAAGGCTGCTTTCTCTGCTCACCCCCGAGGTTGTACATCAACCACTCTAAACAGGGACTGTACTCACCTCAGCTACAGCAATGGACTGTACATCAGCATTAGCGATGAGATGGCTCTTCACAAGCGTCCCAGTGGCTGAGTCCCAGAACTGCACCTTCCCAGCAGAGTCCACACTTATGACAGTGCCATCGGACAAGAAGGCGACACCCCACACGATGCACTTCCGTTTAGACACACCCATATGCTGCCTGTCCACAATCATCTTATGAATAGCGCTTCCTGAAAATTCAGAAAAGCACATCTTTGAATGGTACTTATTTCTCTGTTTGTCTTCAAAATCTGTCTGCAGCCAAAGTGGGAGGATTGCTTGAGCCAAGGAGTTTGAGGCGAGCCTAGGCAACAAAGTGAGACCTCATCTCTACAAAACAAAACATAACAAACCAGCCAGTGGTAAGCATGATATGGTAGGTGAGCTGACTGAACACAGTCAGCCTATAAATGGTAGTTCTGGTGAACCTGATCTGGGAACTCCAAAATGGTTACCTGAAGAGAAGGAGTATTGGGATAGCCTGATAGGAATGGGATAGAAGGTGCGAGGGAGGGAGGAAGGGAGGGAAGAGAATGAGAACAGAAACCTCTTTTGGGGAGGTGAAATGGAAAGAGATATTTGGGACATTCACTTAAAGCTGGTCAACTGCACACACACATTACACTCTGCTCTTTTCCAAAATTCCACAGGAAAGGGAGAGAACAGTGACAAAATTTGGGGAATTGGAAAGCAGACAAGTAGTGGCAACGGACTTAGCAGAGCCCTGAAACTAAGTCCCAGGTCAGCAGAGAGGAAGGTGGCCAAGAAGCCACCTGAATTATACTATGGAATCCTTAGACTCAGGAACTGGGGAACCCAGATATTCTAGAAAAGGAGTAAGTGGGGCTTCAAAGAGGGATCCGTTACCAGCTGGTAGATCCCCCAGATAGTCATGCCCTAACTAAGAAGCTGGGAAGCTCCCAAAAAGCACGTCAGCAGAATACTGGAGATGCTGTCTGAGGAGGGCTATCAGGCAGAAGCAGTATATGAAAACCAGGATTAAGTGAACATTTCTCATTGAATGTTGAGAACACCATTCTTTTTTTTCTCCTTAGAATGCTGATAGCCAGGCCAATACTCACCAGGCAGGAAAATGAAAAACCATTTCTGAGGAACATAACTGGCACAAAAGAAAAGATCTGAAGATTCTGGCTTCAGGGCTACCCGGAATAAGCAGTACAGCCAGATCATTCTTCAGTGAAATCCAAGCTCAGTAAGCCACATGATGCAGTGATAAGATGATCAACAGACATGAGGAAAGCCTTTAATGTGAAAGGCAGAGGCCAAACGGACTAACAGAAACAAATAAATGAATAACAGGGAGGAAACAGGCAGAGTGAAAAACACCTGATAATTATTAATAGCCTTAGAAAGAGAAGAGTTTCTGTATAATGAAACAAAAAGAGAATGCTATAAAAAAGATGATTCAGGAAACAAAAAAGAACTCTGGAAATGTCAAAAATGAAAAACTCAACAGAGAATTCAAAGATAAAAATGACAAACTCTCCCAGAAAGCATAGTAAAAAGAGAAAGAAATGAAAAATAAAAGAATTTCCCCCCAGAACTGAAGGACATGGGTATTGAATGAAAAGAACCTACCAGGTGTCCAGAACAATTAATTGATCCACACGCAAAGAAACCTAATTATTACATTTCATAACAGTAAGGAGAAAACATCCTAAAAGCTCCGGAGGGGAAAAAAAAAAACAGGTCCTATACAAAGGGATCAACTCTCAGAATGGCATCTGACTTGCTAATAATACAAGGAACTAGAAGATAGCGGAGCCAGGGCTTCAGAATTCTAAGGGAAAAGAATTCCAAGCTAGAATTCTTTTTCATGCACTCTTACTCAGGATGCACCAAAGGATAAACCAAGAAAGTGAATAACACAGAAACAGGACGTCCTATCCAATAGAGAAGCAAAGGACATCCTGAGAACAACGGAAAAATCAGAATTCCAAATCTCACAGTTGTGCAGCAGGCCCAGAGTGGCTAAGCCAGATGGGAGTGGGTCAGAAGGCACTGGGAGGGACTTATCCACAAAGACAAAAGTGGAGAAAGAAAACCAGATGGAATTGGCTGGGCGCGAAGACTCACACTTGTAAACCCAGCACTCTGGGAGGCTGAGCCGGGCGGATCACGAGGTCAGGAGATCGAGACCACGGCGAAATTCTGTCTCTATTAATAAGACAAAAAATTAGCCGGGCGTGGTGGTGGGCACCTGTAGTCACAGCTACTCGGAGAGGCTGAGACAGGAGAATGGCGTGAACTCAGGAGGTGGAGCTTGCAATGAGCGTCACTGCACTCCAGCCTGGGTGACAGAGCGAGACTCCGTCTCAAAAAAGAAAAACAAACAAACAAACACAAAAAAACAAAAAGAAAACCAGATGAACTTGAACCTAATTTATGAAACTGGAAAAATGTGGGATTGTATCAGTAACACAGAGACACTATTAAACAATGAGGATACAGGAAAAGAAAGGAAATTTACTATGTGAGTAGTATATACATAGTCATAATAATAAAAATATCAACTACTAATCTGAACAAAGTTATAATATAACCATACTGGGAGGATCAGGAGAAAGTGTGGATGCCTGTGGCAGATGGTAGAAAAAGAGGGGCAAGTCATAGAAGTCAGTAAAAAATGGTCTAAAGCTGAAAAATCAAAATGTAGCATAAAAAGCATGCTAGGTGCTGCAGTGATAGATACCAAAAGAATCAGGTAAGGGTCACAAGTGGTTTGCCTTGAGGAGTGTGAGAGATAGATAGAAGGACTCCCTCTTTTTGTAATAAGCTAAAGGAATTTGTTTGTTTTTTGAGACAGAGTTTTACTCTTGTTGCCAGGCTGGAGGGCAATGGTGCAATCTCGACTCATGCCAACCTCCACCTTCTGGGTTCAAGTGATATTCCTGCCTCAGCCTCCTGAGTAGCTGGGATTACAGGCATGGGCCACCATGCCTGGCTAATTTTGTATTTTTAGTGGAGACAGGGCTTCTCCATGTTGGTCAGGCTGGTCTCGAACTCCTGACCTCAGGTGATCTGCCTTCCTCAGCCTCCCAAAGTGCTGGGATTACAGGCATGAGCCACTGCGCCCAGCCAGGAATTCTTTATATATGCATATATAACAAATAAAAAAATTATTTGAGCATTGAGGAAAAAGGAGAGAGGTGTTTGACTTTTTTTTTTTTTGAGACAGAATTTCGGTCTTTTTGCCCAGGCTAGAGTACAATGGTATAATCTCGGCTCACTGCAACCTCTGCCTCCCGGGTTCAAGTGATTCTCCTGCCTCAGCCTCCTGAGTAGCTGGGATTACAGGCATGTGCCACCACTCCGGCTAATTTTGTATTTTTAGTAGAGATGGGGTTTCTCCATGTTGGTCAGGTTGGTCTTGAACTCCTGACCTCAGGTAATCCACCCGCCTCAGCCTCCTGAAGTGCTGGGATTGCAGGCGTAAGCCACCACGCCCAGCCAATCTGTTTTATCTCTGTATCTCAGACGGAAGTATAGACATGTCCACCAAACAAGTTGAGATCAACCCCATCAATGAAGGATTCTACGAAGCCAATTTTCCAGGTCAAGAACAGAAAATATCATGGTTCTCTGCTTTTCTGATCTCATGTTTCACCAATTATGCTACGAAGACCTTATGTTCCTCAATGACAGAAACCCATTTTTACCAAGGACTGGGATCTGTACATAGGTAATTCTACTGTTTGTAGTACATGAATGAACTGTGAATGAATGTACTAGTTAAGATAATTTTATTGTGAATTCTTATTATGATGAATAAAAAATACTACATCTTACTGAAGATCCAAGATTCCCGTAAAAGCAGTGGTAGTAATCCAAGAAAGGAGTAAAATTCATTGCGGACATCTCAGAAGATTAATGACATGTTAGGCCACAAAGATCATGAAAGCATGACAAAGGCTCAAGCTTTTGAAAACCCAGAAATGTGAATCTGACAAATAAGACCCACATTCCCCCACCCCAAATGAACTGAGAAAAACAATCACCTGATTTGACATCAAACACACTAATGTAGTCTATGGAACCAGCTGCAATGTGGGTACCAGACGGATGCCAGCTGAGACTCAGGATGCGACCTTGGGAGTTGTACAACAAAAAAAGAAAGTGACATACACATAAATATATACAAAGAGTAACTGAGCTCTCTTCCCACAATTATCTCTAGAGTGTTCTACAATCTTAGCTCTCTCGTCTACAGTACTCCCTGAAGCACCGTTTTGTAATAGATGAGGCACAACTCTGCCCTGGGATTGACAACGAAGTATTTGATACTTTCATAATGTATAAATAGTTGATGGAAGTATAAATAAATATAGCCTTTTAAGGAAGAGGCTGGAAGTGATCTCACGAAATTTAAATGTGCATACTTTTTGGCCCAGTAATTGCACTGGGAACTGATCAAAAAGAAATACTAGCATGAGGGCCCAAAAATATGTATACAAGAATGTTCATTGCAGTACTGGTTACAGTAGTAAAATAAATATACATATATATACACATACACACACCCCCACACACACCCCCAGGTGTGGTGGCTCATGTCTGTAATCCCAGCACTTTGGGAGGCCAAGAAAGACAGATTGCTTGAGCCCAGCCAGTTCAAGACCAGCCTGGGTAACATGGTGAAACCCTGTCTCTACAAAAAAATTCAAAACATTAGCCGGGCATAGTGTTGCACACCTATAGCCCCAGCTACTTGGGAGGCTGAGGAAGGAGGATCACCTGAGCCCGGGAGATCAAGGCTGCAGTAAGCCGTGATCATGCTACTGCACTCCAGACTGGGTGACAGAGTGAGGCCCTGTTTCCAAAAAAAAAAGAAAGAAAAAAAAATACATGTATGTATTTCAATAGAAATTAGGCTAAATAATTCCATTCCATAAAATGGAATGCCATCCAGACTGCCATGACTGGCACAGAAAGATGTCTGCAGTGGATCAAGTGCAAGAAATGTATGTACTTCTACATGAATACACAAAAAAGTCTAAAGGACTAGTTCCAAAACGTTGCCCACAGAGTGGAAATGAGATACCTATTTATTTGAGATGGAGTCTCACTCTGTTGCCCAGGCTGGAGTGCAGTGGTGCGATCTTGGCTCACTGCAACCTCCGCCTCCCAGGTTCAAGCGATTCTCCTGCCTCAGCCTCCCTAGTAGCTGAGACCACAGGCACCTGCCACCACATTTGGCTAATTCTTGTATTTTTAGTGGAGATGGGGTTTCACCATGTTGGCCACGCTGGTTTCAAACTCCTGACCTCAAGTGATCCACCCACCTCGGCCTCCCCAAATGCTGGGATTACAGGTGTGAGCCATCATGCCCAGCTGAGATACCTATTTTCTATTTCATACTTGGGAAAATGTATGAGAATTTTAAAAAGCATTGTATTACCTTTGTAATTGAAAAAGAACACCCAGGCCAGGCGTGGTGGCTCACGTCTGTAATCCCAGAGCTTCGGGAGGCTGAGGTGGGTGGATCATGAGGTCAGGAATTCGAGACCAGCCTGGCCTACATGGTAAAACCCCATCTCTACTAAAAATACAAAAATTAGCCAGGCATGGTGGCACGCACCTGTAGTCCCAGCTACTAGGGAGGCTGAGGCAGGAGAACAGATTGAACCCAGGAGGCGGAGGTTGCATTGAGCCAAGATCACACCACAGCACTCCAGCCTGGGCAACAAAGCAAGACTCCATCTCAGGAAGAAAAAAAAAAAAGCACCTTAGAGATATTAAAAATGAAGCAAGAATCTGATCAGCAGAGGACAAGTATTACTAATGGACACAGAGGACAGCTGCTACCCTTTAGAAGATGGGTCACCAAACTGTGGCCCACAGGCCAAATCAGGCCCACTGCTTGTTTTTGTAAATAAAGTTTTTACTGGAGCACAGCCTTGCCCATTAGTTTCAGTGTTGTCTACAGCTGCTTTTGCACTACACTGATACAGCTGGCAGACAATGTAGGGTTGTCAAAGCCTAAAATGTTTATTATCTGGTCCTTTACGGAAATATTCTGCCAACCCCTGTTCTAAAGGATCAATGCCAATTCAGCCCAGGTAAAGCCCAAGGATGGGCAATTGTTTATAAACTCCCTCATTCAACTTGAATGCACCAGAAGGATTAAGAACCACAGTTTCTTGGCTAGGCCGAGTGACTCAGGCCTGTAATCCCAGCACTTGAGGCCAAGGCAGGTGGATCACTTGAGTGAGACCAGGAGTTCGAGACCAGCCTGGCCAACATGGTAAAATCCTGTCTCTACTAAAAATACGAAAATTAGCAGGGCATGACAGCACATGCCTGGAATCCCAGTCACTCGGGAGGCTGAGGCACCAGAATCACTTGAAGCCAGGAAGCGGAGATTACAGTGAGCCTAGATCATGCCACTGCTACTGCCAGCATGGGTGACAGAGTGAGACTCTGCCTCCAGAAAAAAAAAAAAAAAGAAAAGAACCACAGTTCCTAATGACAAAATTGTAATACAAGACTTCAGGTATGCTTGTTAAAACATAACAAAAGTAAATGACAACTAACAAATTGACTTCCACGGGAACACTAGCTTTACAATTTTGGATTTCTGGTTTTCCATATTATTACTTAACCAAGCAGTCACAACTATGCTATACAATAGGTAAAGCCTGGGCTGGGGAAGGCTTCTAGCACATATCCTCCCTGTACTCGGTAGAGATAAAATATTACCTGGATTCATGGGAAAATATCCCATCCCCAGTGGCACAGAAACTTAACTTCTTGTTAAGGCTATTTACCGCCCCACGAAAAATGACCCTTACTTTTCTGCCGATCAAAATTTCTTTCAAACTGGATTTTGTCTGGAGTAATTTGAAATAGTTTCACAGATCCATCTTCACAGCCAACCTATTGCAGAAAGAGGTAGTAAACAGACAAGATAAACAGTAAACATTTTATAGGACTAAACACACACACACACACACACACTCTCTCTCTCTCTCTCTCGTTCTCTCTTCCTCCTTAAAGCTATCAGTTGCCCTGAAAGAGAAAAATCATTTGTGAGAGAAACAAAGTACTAGTTATCAAGAAACTAATAGTGTATTCTCAGTAGCCTTCATATCCTAGACAGAAAACAGACTGATATTAAGAATTCTAATTAGTGGCCCCATTCCTGCATATGACATGGATTAGAAAGACCTATTAACATTATAACCTAAATGGAAACACCTTAAGATATGGTGCAAATTAGTGCAGATCACAAAGAATGAGACTCATCACAGAGAATTAAAGATCCGGAAACACCCATTCTAATGGTAATTATGTGAAGGGTCTCAGTGTGTGGTCAAATTTTTGAAACACTGTGCTGAAACACTGGTGCACAGGTTAACCTGCTGAAGGGACTCTTAGAACTCTTCATATCCCAATGTGCATTGTGAATTTACAGCAGGATTAAACATGCTGTATTTCTGAGAAGAAATTTATCATAAAACACAAAACATACCAAAACAAAGAAACCTCTACATCTCCAAATTCCACAGAACACAGTTTGGGAAATGTTGAACTGATGTAATCCTACCATTTCATAAATGAATCAACAAGGTCCAGACAAGCAGCAAAAAGAATGCTGGGGATTTTTTTTTTTTTGAGACGGAGTCTCGCTGTCGCCCAGGCTGGAGTGCAGTGGTGCCATCTCGGCACACTGCAAGCTCCGCGTC